CCGAATGAAAGTTGTCTAGCTTTCTGCAAGTGCAATTGAAAATATGGCAGAGTAGAGAGCGCGTGCTCAATCGCCATTGCCAGCTCTACCAACGCCATGCGCTCAAGTTCTCAGAGATTGTATTTGTAATTCTTTCTGTGCACTTTTTTGTGCTCATGCTTTTGCCGTTGCGCTTCGTTGCATTTTCCACGCGTTGTTGTTTTTGTGCTTGCATTACTGTTTGTTTCGTTTGATTGCCGTTTGGTTTATATTGCCAACCATCGTCATTGCAAAGGTTGTTGCTACTATTTTGTACTGTTATTAGTGGTGTGGTGGGTATTATTAAATAGCTGTATCTTGCAAGGAACTGCTGTGGCTCATTGTTGTTGTTGAAGTTCTTGCACAGTTCGTTGTTTTTTGCTGGAGCAGCGTTGTTGCTTTCTTATTTATTGGCATACTAGTCACTCAGTTCTTGAGATATTATTCTAAAATTTTTACTTACTTTTTACCCTAAGAAGCTGCTCATTTGTCGGTTCCGTCGATATCGGACTACTATAGCATATAGCTGCCATACAAACAGAACGAAAAAAATCAAGTTCTGGTATGGAAAACTTTTTTATTTGATGAGATATTGTACTCTTTTATGCTATAGGAAACGCACGTGTAATATTGTAGCTTCCGTGCAGCCGAAATTAATGCTTTTTGTTGTTTTTTTTAATTTTCTTAAATCGAAAACAATAAATTATAGCACATAATAGGTAAGAAGTTACGTTATTCGTTGATGAAATTCTCTTGAGTAAATATTTCTATATTAAAATAATTTAATTTGCTTGCAATAAAGGTTTAATCAACCCAATTTCTTGTTTTTCTAAGCACACAACACTACAACAACAAATATTTCAGCATAAAAGCCGATTTATTCACTAAATCAGCGCAGAATATGTCATTATTATTTGCTATTACTTTTTACGTGTACTTCGCCACTCACAGCTCCAACGAACTACTCGACGCTCAATTCAAAGCAATCAACAACAATTACAAACAACAAACACATATACACTCGTGCCCATAGAAATATTACACCGCTCAATGTAAGCCAAACTGTCAACATAGAAAACAAAGCAATCAACGGCAGTGGGTAGCGGCAGCGCCAACAACAAAAATAACAACCGACAACAGATGCAAATGTAAGAGGTTTGTTTATATGTACAATAACGATTATGTTTGACAATTGACTGCACTAGCGCAACACCAAAAACAAAGAACACACAAGCAAAATATTGCGCAATAAAACGCATGTGTGTGTGCAGTGCAGCAACAATTGAAAATAAGAAATCAAATATGTATGTAACTAAGCGCACTGCTTACTGAAATTACAGAAGAATGCAAAGCCAGCAGAGCGAGTCTGCCGCGCATCTAGCACTGTAAGCGAAAGGAATCGCACAGGAGTTGCAAACGACGCATATTGTGAATAGTAAAAGAAAATTCGAATGCGTTGCCACACGGAGCACCAAACGCACGTGAAAAAAATGCAGACAAGTAACGAATGGAAAACTTAAAGCGAGGCAAAATGAGCAAAACGCATAGCATACATTGTTATGTACGCACGTATGTATGTGTGTGTTTAGTTGTTGCCGGTAGTCTGAAAACTAGTCTGCAGATCTTTATTACAAATCTCTGGCGACGCAGCAGATCGATTGCAATCAGTTGGCCGATAGCGTGAGAAGAATAGCTAACTGGTGAAGCCATGCGCGTTTTGCCAATGGCTGGCTGCAGGAGCGGTGAAGCAATTGGCGAGCAGCAATAATGTGTTTAACCCAAAAGTGGTCGTACGGACTACGAATTGTTGGGCTGATTGTGGCGAATTCAGGAATTTTTATATGTCATGGGGAAATAAGAAGGCCTACACAGAATTTTTATTTTTAGTAACCACACATCAATATTTCGCTGTAAATTCGAGTGAGTTACTCAAAATACGGTGCATTTGTGTAAATTCGCATTAAATATTAAAAGAGTATATTAATAAGGATAACAACAACAAAAAAAAAAACGTTAACTTCAGCTACACCGAAACCATAATACACTTCCCAAACAAAAATAGTTTGATTTGGACCGTTCAGTTTGTATGACAGCTATATGCTATAGTGTTCCGATCTGAACGATTACTTCGGAAATTCCATTTTTGCTATAAATAATAATTCCTTCCTAATTTCATGAAGATATCTCGTCATATGAAAAAGTTTTTCCATACAACAACTTGATTCCGATTGTTCGGTTTGTATGGCAGCTATATGCTCTAGTGGTCCGCTATTGGCCATTCTGACAAATTAGCAGCTTCTTGATGAGAAACGGCCGTATGCTAAATTTAAGATCGATATCTCAAAAACTGAGGGAATAGTTCGCGTATATACAGACAGACGGACGGACAGACGGACATGGCTAAATCAGCTCAGCTCATCATGCTGATCATTTATATACATATGTATACGTTTTATAGAGTCCTCGACGTTTCCTTCTGGGTGTTACTAAACTCGCGGCAAACTTAATATACCCTGTTCAGGGTATAAAGACAGCAGCAGATGCAAGTAACTGCCAAATGGTGTATTCTATTGGATGAACTTGTTATGAATACCAGCGTTGACTTTGTTGTAGTTTTTGTTGTAGTTTTTGTTGTAGTAGTCGCGTCATACGCTGTTCTATAGCTTAGTGTGTTGCAGTTGCTTGCAAACGCATGCGCTTATTATTATTAGCGTTTGTAAAGTGATACTACAACAACACATCATGCTTATATACATACATAAGTGTACAAGTTCGTGGTTAGGCGTATAATTCATGTTTGTTGTTGTTGTTGTTGTTTATATTTATTTTCTTATTGTTGTTGTTGTTTATATTTCTTTTCTTACTGTTGTGGTTGTTGTTTATACTTCTTGCCTTATTGTTGCCGTTTTCGCTGTTGACGCACCAACATGTCGACTAGTTTTACAAGTTACAACAACAAGAATAGTAAATTGTCCACTTTACTGTCGCAGCAGCGCATAGAAAAATGTGCGGCAATTGCAAGCAGAAGAAAGAAAAAATGCAGCAGCCAGATAAACGGGAGCAAATTACTTATATATACACACTTAAGTACATAAGTGCATACATACATATATGTATACCATATATACATATAATACGTATATATACAAATAACGCAAAGCGTATTGCTTAATAAATTCTCTCTTTTGCAATTTGTAAATATTTTGCGTCAGCTGATCAAATTTGACCCGGACTGGCAAAAAAAAAAAAAAATACAGTTTCAAGTATTTTAATATAATTTTTTATTAACGCCTTAAAAACATGTAACTGAGCCAAACTGTCCAAACGCTTTGAACTTTAATTTGCGCTCTCCTGTTCAAACTTTGATATATCACTTTAACGCTAGTAAGATAATACACGTCGTAATGCCGTACTCATTTTTTACGCACAGACTTTCATTTGTACAAGGAGTAACTTCAAACGCGCAGTTTGCTCTATTGGGCTTTATGTCTCCATATGTGTTGACGTAGCGTTATCTTGCTAATGTTAAGTACACGCTAGATGACAACCCAAACTCTGAGCTTGTATCTGCCAAAGTGCGAAAGTTTCTCATAAAATACATGCCATTAGTTCTCTGGAGTCACCCAAAACTTTCAGCCACCATTTGTCGCATAATTTCCAGACAAGTACTGCATAGAAATTCTAGTGAGTTTATGGCAAAAGTTGTCGGTGACAATTATACTACATGCCATACACCTTTCTACAGTAACTAGCTATTTTAATAAGCCATAATTCGTCGAAAATTCGACACCCTTTGAATGCTTAATTTTCTTTTTAATTCACCTCTACTGCTCAGTCATCAAATTCTTAACCGTAACTTTGGGTAATTGCGTCGTTTTAAGCCGTCATTATCGTTGATTGCTACATAAACATTTTCATTACCATTTTTATTGTTGCTGTGCGCTTGCTGCTCAGTTGTTTTAATGTTTTTGGAGCGTCTTTAACGCAATTTTGTCATTTCAACGTCACCACCGCTTTTGCCTTAGCGCTACTAACCGTGCTTTTTCGACTGTCATTTTTGACAATTGAAATGCCAGACCAAGCGCGACTAATACCTTTATTTTTTGGCACATTTCCTACAAACTATTTCCTTTTTATGGATTCTTCAACTATTCGCACTTTATTGTTGTGAACACATACATATGTACATGCATATACAGACAAGAAATATTGCTTAGCGCACCGGCCGGCTACTTTTGTATACCTATAAGCCATACATACATACACGCTATATGTTTGTAGCACAATATCAAATTTTGTTATGCATATTTTTATTAAATTTACTACTGACATTTTTTCGCGCTGCGGTTTTCGGCTGCGTCGCAAAAGGAAATCTCACAACAAGCGGCCGCGCAATGAAGCGTTGAAATTTCGATATACTTACATATCTACAATACATACATATGTATGTATGTAGATATGCCATCAGCAGAGAGGAATTTAGTTATAAAGCAGCATATATAAAATAACAACAAAGACACATTAGTAAACAAAATTTAAATTTGAAAAATATTTGTTTGACAGCATTGCAAGCTCTTCTTCTTTTTCGCCAACAACAGCTTTTTCTAAGTTGCATACATAAGTATATATGTACATATGTAGGTGCTTACACGATTTTTGCACGCTAAAAAGCTGACTTTTTCCTTGTTTACCGTGCTTGCGGCGTCGCGCATGCGCACCAGCTCAGCCACCCAAGGCACTCAACCGTACGAGCGTGGCGGCATTAAACCCCACAACGTCGCTGGAAGGAGGCCGTGGCGTACGCGCCGTGTGCGCGTATAAGCCGCAACAAAACAGTTTCGGCTGCTTCCACTAACCACTTGGCTGCGGTCATGTATAGCATGTACCGTTGGCATTTGCCGTTAGAAGAACGCGCCCGCCACCCCGGCCTATGCTAGTCTGCAGTCACTGAGGCGCAAATAATTTTAATTTTTCCATTTGTTTTTACGCTTTGGTTTCGCGACTTTGCTTTTTTTTTTCAACGAAAAGCAATTCTTTTTGTTTGTTTGCCACATGAAATTCCCATTTCTTTTATGCTTCGTTTGTAACTGACTAAACTGGACAAACGCGTTGTGTGGCTGGTGTTTGGTGGTGGAATTCATGCTACAAGTTCTGTCATGCCACATATGGTTAGTTGTTATGGGTTAATGATTCCTTCTTATTTCAATTTTTATTCAAAAAAAATGCACAAAAAAATATTTATTAAAAAATATAGCTAGAGTTAGGTGACCATATTTTTCATGGCAAAATCCGAGACGGTTTTTTTAGTCATCGATTTTTCCATATTATCACTGAAAATCGCGACATATAATAGGTGAGAGAGCAACACAATTTTATTCAATTCTTAACTCGAAATCCGGACTGCCTCGGTCCAACCGGGCCGCATGGTCAGCTAAAGCTAGATGTATGCAATTTTTTGCCAACTTTACTAGAAAGTATTGGCTTTTTCAGCTGTTTCGAAAAATTCTTTTAATGAGCCATCAGCTCTTTCTTCGATTCTAAATCTGATTTCACCAATTGTGGCAAAACGCTTTCCTTTCATTGGTTTCGTGAGTTTTGGGAATAGGAAAAAGTAGCAGGGAGACAAATCTAGTGAATACGGTGGTTGAGGCATGATTACGGTTTTGTTTTTGGTCATTCAACAACTTCTGAGCGCTACTAATGCGACATGGCTTTTGCTTAACGTTTGGCAATTTCAAAACAAACTTTGCTGCCACACGTTTCATGCCCAAAACATTCGAGAAAATTGAATGGCATGAGCCGATTGATATGCCAACATTCTCTGCGACTTCCCTAACAGTGTTTCGACAATTTTCAAGAACACTTTTTTTTCACTGTTTCGACGTTTCTTCGCCTGTTAATGTGGTCGCACCTCCAGCATGCTCATCGTCATCAACATCTTCTCGGCCTTCTGTAAAGCGCTTGTACCACTTATACATTTCCACAGTCAACATTTCAAGTGCCTTGGAGCACTTTATTTCATTTTTAACGCAAAACTTCATACATATTCTTTGATGCATTTCCTTCAAAAGTCAAAAATCGTAGAGCCCTCAAAAATGTGACAAACCTTTTCTCTTGTCAAAAACAAACTACTAATCGAAATTGGCTCCTAATGCAAACACATGATAAACATATGTGTCCGATTATCACAAAAACAAAATATCGATAATCGAATGTACACATTTTATAGGGTCACCAACGTTTCCTTTTGAGTGTTACAAACTGCATGGCAAACTTAAGCGTATAAAAATATTCTTCACGTGTTTTGAAATCAGTTCGGTACCGAATTTCTATTTTCCAGTGGTTTAAACACGAATTTAGCAGCGCGCAGCACCTGCCGACCTAACCTTAAACTTTGTAAGCTACACTCGCCGCTACACGGTGCTGCTCAAATGCAGGTCGTTTGTGCGAAAAAGAGGACAGCTGCTGCAGACTTTTATGCAGTGACATGCATTTGAAACTAAGTGTGCCAAGCTTCATCGAACGCAAACGCTGTGCTGACCTTACGCAAATCACTTGGCTTGGTTTGACAGATTTTAGTCAGCTATAGTGGGTGTACATATATGTGTGCATTAACAATATTCACACGCGTTCATAAAAAATATAATTTTGCATAATTCGAACGAATTTTAATGTTTAACAAGTGCAGAAATAAGTTTCCATTGCTAAATTTTCTACATTTTTTTCGTTTCACTTTTTTTAGAGGTTCCTTTAATTGGCTTACGGCATTTTACTGTATGCCAAACTCTTGCAAGCCGTTTTATTATTACTGTTTACCTTTGCTCGCACTGAAGCGTTGTTTTGATTGTTTGCATATACTTGTATGTGTGTATGTGTGTAACAGTTAAGTGCTAACATTCGATTGTTACGATTTTATTAATTTTTTCTTGTCACTGTTCATGTTTAGCAATACAAATTTCAATACAAAAGCAGTGTAGAAAAATAAATAAAAAATACAACAAAAGCTTTAATAACAAAGACTGAAATCGAAAGGAAAGGCAATTCCAGCAAAAGAAAACAAATGCTTTCAATGCAATTTCAAGGCGGTTAGACCAATTGCTGTCGCCTCCAGCATTTACTTCAAGCAACAGCGCTGCCCCCCACTCTCACTATCGCTCTATGCAGTGAGCGGTAGGTAACTGTGAAAGTGAACAGCGTGCCGCTAGTGTGCTTGGCATATGGCATAAAGCAGCGGTAGACATAATAACAACAACGCGACAAATAACAATAACAATAAAAAAGCGCCGCGCAGCTGTTGCTATTTATTGTTGTGCCATTTGGAGCATTTTGTGAAGAGCTTGCATAGTGTAACACACAGAGTAACCGTGTTAGTTACCCCACTCAACTGAACTGTCATAACCTATAGAATCGCCAGCTACAATAAAAACATACACATGTACTTACTTATGTGCTTACTATATGTATAAGCTGCTCCACCGCTAGCGCTGCTCAAACGTAGCGGCAGGCATGGGAACGATGGTTTCTCTGCGCTAAAGTTAGAGATAATTTATTTAGCGATGCTGAGTTGATGATAACTAATACATTGGCGCTAGCGCAGGCAATAACGGCGAAGACGTTGCGTTGTAAATTAGAAAATTTCTATAAAAAAACGCGCACACATATATACAAACACATGTATGTATGTAGAGCAGCGTGCACGTGTGAGTTTAATATTTGTATAAGACGGCGTTTGAATGCCAAATTATATAATTAATGCATTTTAAATTAGATACATTAATGTGGCGGAGCAAAAGCGAATAGCAAAGCAATGAGCTGTAAGCTAACAAAGGCAGCATGAATGTGTAGAAAGTGTGTGTACGGTGTGGTTGGTTGACATGACAGCTGGGAGGGGAAACATGGTGTTAATGCTTGCGACGATTGGGGATAAGGAGCATGTTAAATTGAAAAAAAGAGGCGTAGTAGCGTAGTTGGAGTGTTAAGGAGTTTGATAATCAATTATTATTTATACACACCGATGTCTTTATACTAAACCATTTTGGTTTTGTTTTTTTAATTTTAATTGCCTACCTCTCCTACACTGCTGCGCCCAACATTTTCGTTTATTTTTAGTTAAAAAATTAGTAATTAATTTATGTAGGTAGGTGTGTTTATTTAGAGAATTTGACGAAATAGGCAGCTTACCTTGTAGTAAAGTATATTCGAAACGTTTAACAACTGTGGACGGAGTGATTAGTTGTTGCCACTTCGTTGTAGTTATAGTCGACTTTGTAGTAAATAACAAATTTGTAATATTTTTATTTATAGAATTCACTTTTTAGTTGTTTATCATGAACAAAACTGAATTGTTTTAATTTTAGCTCTTCTTAAAATTGTTGTTACTTAAGACAGCTGAAAGTGTAGTTTTCTATTAATAACAATTGAACGCACTGTTTGCCAGCAGTTGAAAAAAATTGAATTTCTTTTTTTTTTTTTGCCAGCCGATGAAAAAACTGCATTTATTATTTTGTATGTTGTTGTTACAAACTACTTTTTTTATATTTTTTTATTATTTATATATTATTTAATTTACGTATTTTAAAGATAGTGAATAACTCGTAATTGAAAAATATAAAAATTTATCTTGCCAAAAAGGGATATAAATATATTTTCAAAAAAACACCTTTAACGCAAGCTCAAAAAGCAAAAAAAAATATAATTATCAGTAAATATATTTCTAGCATACAAATAATTAACTTGCTTTAAATTGTAATATACAAATTTCTAAACAGTTGTCAACCCCCTACAAAATTAATTTTCAAGTTAGGATCATTGTATAAACTATTTTTCGTTATTGTTATGGCTTTTTTGTTGGTCGCGCGTTTGCGTTTAATTACAAATTACGCGCATAATTTCTTAATAAACCAGCAAGTCTGTGGGTTGGGCAAATATGTTACGCATTGAAATGCGGTTACATTTTTGCGTCAAGAAAAGATTACTAAATAATAATAAAGCTAAAAAATTAACCGATATTTTCGTGACATTGGCTGACCATAACGTGCAGCTGTAGCTAACGGCACTGCACTGCTTTATACCATATGTTGTTTTTTTCTTTTTGTAACTTTCTGCTATGCTAGCTGTGAACAAACACTGTCCACGACGCACGCAACGGCACTTGTTCGCGACGTTGAAGACGGTAGCTGCGGCTTATAAATGACAATTGCAGCTAGTTCTGCACTAATTAGCTTTCCTCCATTTCCACTTGTTTTCTTTGGTTTATTTTACACAAATTATTTTAAAGATTTTCGTCTAGCTTTCCATTTTGTTACACTTGCTGCGCTATATCTTGCTGCTTAAATGCTGAAATTAGATTTTCTTTTACTCTTTGCTTTCTACAAAGGTGTCTCAAACGCTTTCTAATGGCAGCGGCTAGCGATAATTGCATTAGTACAACATGTAGGAAAACCGTATAAATCGGGTAGAAAATGCACACATACACAAAGACAGACACAAACACAAGCAGCCACCTTCTTCTCGTATTTGTAGACAGCGACTGGCACGACAGCTGCTTGCAGGATGTCGCCGCGTAACTGCAGCGCCTGACCAGATGTGTGGAAAAGCGCTAGTTTATATGTATTTTCACGATTTTTCTTTTCACTGCAGCACTGTTTCGGCTAAATGCCTTTTAACGTTATTTCGTTGCAGTCAGTGGAACACATAAAAAAAACTAACAAATATATTTAGCCTGCAGTGCGGCTTTTTTCCGCAGCAACTGCTCACCTTTTTTCACACGCTTTCGTTACTTGTTATCCTTGCGCTGCGTAGCTAAGCAACCTTTACGCCCAATTGGCACTACACGAAATTAGATTTTTATTTTATTTCCAAGTATAGTTAGTACAATTCAAGAACTTTTTCCTTTTGTTAAAAAATAGTTGCTTTTCATGCTTGTAATATATTTTTTATTGCTACTGTCGACAATTTGCCGACAACTGACAACCGCAAACCCACAATTGTAATGTTTCTTCTGCAACGAATGGAAGACAACAACATAGCGTAAATGGCAATAGCTAAGCGAAAACCAGCAAAAACCGAGCGGGAAGAATAAACGCAGAGCAGCGGAAACCAATTCAAAAGTTTGAGAGAGCCGCTCTATCTATTTTGCGCTAGTTGGCAACGCTGCGCATAACATCAGAAATTAAGCAAGTTTTTTATTAATTTCATTTATACTTATTCTCGTGTAATTTTTTAATTAAAATATTTTTTGATGTACTAATGATAAAAAACTTTTTGTAGAAAAAAACTTATAATTGGTACACAAATTGACTAAAAATTCGAATCGCATCAGTCTTTTTACAAAAGCAACCCTGCCATATTCTCTACTCGCTACTATCTGTCCGACTTGTCCCTACAATAATCGTGCCTACTCTGTTTGGCACATTCCAATCGGATATCCTCACAACCGGTATCGTTCCTGCACACATTTACGCGAGCGTGATGCACGCATATCACTTGGGTTGGCAGCAACAATTGCGCTGACGAGTAGGGGGTAAATTGTGACGAGTATAAAAATTTTTTCATTTCCAAACGAGCGCCGAGAATGCTTCGAATTCAGTTGCAATAAAAAAGTTTTATTATTTTGATTAGTCAAAGTCAAGGAAAAGATAGCAAGTAGTTGAAAGAAAGAGGTGAAAGCAAACACAAAGTGAAAAACAAAAGTTTCAAAACATAAACATAGCAATTAAAACTAAATAGAAAAACACAACTGTGCCGCCAATTTGTGAATTGTGAATAAGAATATTAATTGAACAAAAAGTTGTGTGTTGTATAGCTGTGGAATAAGCGATTCAAAAACGGCAAAACCATTTACAAAACCAAGCCGTAGGTAGTAAAGAAGGCGCAAGTGAAGCGAGAAGCAAAATAAGTCGTAAAAAAAAACGAAAGAATAGAAACACTGGTGCTCCGTTGGCCAGAATTAAAAAAACCAACAAAATTCCCTTAAAATATCAGTTAAAACGTATAAAAGTGTGGGTATTTTTGTGGTTTTGAAAATATTTAACTTTGTGAAACAATTCGATATTAGAAGTACAGCTAATTTACGTCAAAAGCGAAACGGTGTTAGCGCGCGAGACCCCCTCGATGTTGGATTCCTTTGGATCTATCTTAGTCAACACCAACGCCGCTGCCGCTGGAATCGCTACACAGGCTATCATACAGAGCAAACGACATGGAAAGCATCTGTAGATTGTGCTTTCAACCAGCAGCGGTAAGTGGAAAAGCGCGGTTTATTATTTTTTTTTATAAATTTCGCATAAACTGCATTAAATCTAATACGAAAATTTTCATTAAAAAATTTACATATTTTCTGTTCGTCAAATTTGCACTATGCGCCATTGCAATTTTTCGGGTAGGAGGAGCAGCTTTTCAATTGTAGGAAAAAATGTGTATTTTGTTATTTTTATTGATTTTTCAGTCGTTTGGGAGGGCGGGCAGCCGCGCGGTGTGATGGACATGGGATATGTGTAGCGCACACAGCAGCGGTGGGAGTGGCGATCTAAGCGCCAGCTTAGAAGTTTGGGTGGTGATATTTTTTTGTTCCACTTTTCTAAAACGGTATGAATTGCAAAATGGAAATTGGAAAGTGGGAAGAAAGGCGTACGACGTGTTGTGGGAGCGAGGGATAATGATGAAGGCGATTGGTGGTATGAAAAGGGCGGTAAAACGTTATTTGAAATACAGGTAGTGCATTTAATTCGCTGGAGGAGGTAGCGGGAATGCATAATGTTAGGATTAGCACAACTACATATGTACATATATATAATTTTAAATTTCGTATAGTGACATGTTTTGTGGCTCACTTTGGCATATGGAAAAAAAAAAACGCATTAGCGCGGTTCCAGCCACTCACTCATTCTTCGTTCGGCTCTTTAATAACCACTTGACCGGCATGAACGCCACTAAAATGGCGTCTAAAATACGAAAATTTCTTATATTTCTGCTTCTTCACGATTCCCAAGCATTTATTACTTTTTCAGCACAATGTACGCTTTGTCTGTTGTGCGGCCGCTGCGCTGCGCTGCACCGCGCACCACGTCTTCCTCCGCACATAACGACGAGTAGCCCATTTTTACATTTTATTTTCATAAATTCTTTTTTTGCGTTGTGTTTTTTTGTGCGCTTATTTTTCTTTCGCTGCTTTTGTTATTCTACCACAATTCCCCACAACTTTCAACAATGGTTGAATAGCAGAAGGCAACAACAAAGCGAAAGGTAAATAAAAAACTAAAGCAAAAAAAAAAAAAAAAAAAAAAAAATAACTTAACATTAGACATTATGTCGAAACAGAAAAAAAAGGAATATCAAAAAATAGGCACGCATAGGCGAATTAATGTATAAAAACCCTCATATGAGAAAAAGAAAAAAAAAATTAAAATCGCGCAAAAAATATGATTATGAAAAATATTAATAATAAAAAGAAATCGCAAAATTTGCGCCAAAGAGCAAGTGACGACGTCGAATGCAACAACAACGCGGCGACAATGCTCACACACAGCGATTTTTGCAAAAGAAATAGCAACACGCCGATAAGTAAATTAAAATAAAAATGAAGAAAATGTATTAAAACAATGCTGAAAAAAATACAGACAATCAGCAATAACAAAATCTAAAAATGAAAAACGTAATAAAAAAATTAAACAACAACAATGTGAGCAAGTCAAGTAATACAAGCGAAGTGAGCGAGTGTATAACCAGAGAACGTTGAAAGAGTCGACGCCGGCAGCGCCGTCAGCAGTGCAGTTTGTAGTATTGTACATGCGAACAACAACAACCACATTATAATAACAAAGAGCACAACAAGCTGCAAGTAGTCGCCGCCGCTCTGCTTGACTTATTGCTTTTAAGAACGCAGCACGCAAAGATGGAACGCGCGCAGTTAGAAGAGAGGGGGGCGGGGGGAAAGCAAATCTATATCTAAATATACACTTATGCATACATACATATGTATATGAATGAGTGTGACGCATTGTCGCTGCATACGTTACAACTGACTGACTAACCGATCGTCGGATCACATTTTAGTCTGCCAATTGGTTTGCTCGACTGCGCAGCAACAACAAAAACAATTATGGCATGCCTATATTCCAACGGGTACGGTCAGTAGAAATAGCCAGCGTCGTCGAAAGCAACACTTGTAAAAGCAAAACTAATTTTATTTTATTATTTTTTGTGTTTCAATTTTTTGTATATTTTTTCTTTTTCAATTTGCTCACTGCACTCAACCAGTTTACTGCAATGAATTTTGTTTTCTTTTAATTAAAAATGCTTGTACAGCGTGTGTAGAGGGGCAGTAGTGCTGGCAGGCAAAACATGAGTGTGGGTGTGAAAAGCAGGATTTCAGTTCAGTGTTGCCAAGTGTAGAGCGAATATAAAATAAATAATAATAAATAAAATCCGCCTATTTTCGGGTGAACGGATGCTTCCATTTATAATTTTTAAAGAATTTAGAAGAAAATATTCAATATTTGACTAAAAAAAAACGAATATTTTTATGCCATTTTCTTCAAAGATCAACTCTAGAATTTGTCAGCGCGGTTAACAGAAACTTATTTTTGTATTATCTTTATTTATTTATACCACTTTTGTAATTTCAATATTAAAAAAATGTATACTGGTTGTATAATTTCAGTTTAAATAAATTTATACCACTCTCATAATTTCAATATTAAAAAAATGTATTTTAGTTTTATAATTTCAGTTTAAATAAATTTATACCACTTTCATAATTTCAATATTAGTGTTATAATTTAAATATTAATCATATTTATACCAGTTTCAAAGCAAAAATGGATTTACAGTTTTTTACCGCTTAGCAATACAGTTATGTACTTATTTATACCATTTAGACTAATTCTACATCTATACAAGTTTTATCATTTCAATATTGAATAAATTTATACCAGTTTCAATCCGTAAAGGTATACTTTTCATACCACATTGCAATGCCATTTCACAATGTATGTATTTATAAGCTTTAGGCTAATTTTAAATTTATACCAGTTTCGATTGGAATTGGTTTAATATTTTTACCACTTTGCAATGCATAATACCGTATACTATACATTTATAATAAGGAGTTACCTACATATACAGTTATGTACGTATTTAGACTAGTTTGACATTTATACCAGTTACAAATTATTCAATTTTAGTTTGTATATTTCTCTATCTGCAGTTGTTCCAAGTACCCGGCTATAATATACCCACCTGTGTTAAGTGCTCCGAACATCTAACTGCTAACGGTTTCTATCCATCAGTACGTGGCGGCGGATCTGGTGCTGGCGCTGGTGGCGCTAGTGCTGTGGATACGCAGAATTTGGCAAATGTCGCCGCAGTCGCAGCGCAACTAAGTAATAACGTGGCCGCTGCTGCTGGCAACAATAACGTTGCTGCTGTCAATGCTTTGGCACAACAATTACAACAGCAACATCAACAGCAGCAACAGCAACAACAGCAGCAGCAGCAACAACAACAGCAACAACATCAATTACAATCAACAAGTTCTTCCGAAAGTCTACATTCATCATCTGAGATTACAGAGAAGGTGAGAGAGAACCGAAATTTCATATTTTGCTTTTCTTCAGAAGCGCTTGCGTTGTAGTTGTAATTTAGCATGTAGATTATGTATTTGGATATGTATACATATGTGGAAGTGTTTTGTTTTGTGTTGGCGTTTTGTTTGTCAAGTTTTGCGTGTGCCAAATTCGGTGTCTGTAATAAGACGTATGCAAAGTAGCTTCGAAAGCAGGTCAAAGGTCGTCACTGAGCAGCGTGGCACCAGTTGATGCTGAATAATTAAACATAAAAAGTTGTTGCAAACATGTACATTAGGCATTGAAAAAAAAAGTAAAATCTGATTTATTGCTGTCATTAAACTGAAACATTTGAACTCTCAAAACTTGAGGCATACTTTTAGGCATATACAGCAGCAATAATTTTTATTTTTATTATTTGCTTTTTTTGTTTTTTGATGTTCTATCCTGTAAAAT